TTAGGACTATTGCAAGTTTAATATAATAGTTGAATAAAAGGTCACCAAAAAATAAAGCTCTCCCGTACACCAGTAACAAGCAATGAGAAAACGTAACAGAAAAATTCCTATTCACAGTAGCATCAGAAACTATAGCTAGGAAAAAACGAATCAGACAGTGCGAGAACTTCGTGGAGAAAGTTATCCGACATTACTAAAAGTTTCATTAGTAAGACCTAAATTTCATGGGATGAAAAAAAACATATAGTAGAGCAATACAACTTTAATCCAAACTGCAAAGTGACTATAGAATTCCACAAACCAATTTAAGACTTCATGTAAAATATTAGAGAGCCAAAACCAATTTTCAAAAAGAATAAATACCATTCTGATGAACAGATGCACCATCTAATGAGACAGACTATGAAGGTACAGTAACTAAAATGTGGCATTGGCATAAAAATATACGATTAAATCAATGGCATAAAATGAAAGTACAGAAACAGAAGCAGGGTTCAGAATGGGCGTTCCCCAGGACGTGCCTCTGTGGCGCGTGAGCATCAGCTCCCACAGGGCATTTAAGCGGAGGCCTTGCCCAGAGGAAGGGTTATTACCAGAAATTGGTTTCTACGGCCCACGTACCGGGCAGGACACGCTGCACAGGACACCGGCTCCTCTGCAGCCCTGCTGGGCGGCCCCGCTCCCCGCCGCCCCTCCGCAGCCCCAGGGCGACCCCGGCTCAGACCCGCACACACAGACCTCACGCCCCTTCTGTCTCCGAGCCCCTTGGTCCTGGAAGTTTCTGACTCTCTCCCTGCGTGGTTCCGTGGGCACACGACGCTTCCTCCTCCCGCACAGGCCCCCGTACTCAGGGGGAGGGTATGTTTACAGTTGTTCATATGGCAAATAATACAATGATTAATAAACAGTAATACAAGAATAAACCGTTTTTCTGTACTCACACTGTAAATCTATTTCTGCCCTCTCTGTATATGAGAATGTAATACCTGACTTTTTTAAAAAAGGCATCTCATTTCACTGAGGAAATACAGGGCTATTCAGTACATAGTGTGGGGACAACTGACCCCACAAGCAAACAGACAAAAATAAAAGAGCCCCTTCTTGCCGGACACGTGCTTCTGACCAAAAGTGAGGTGGGGAAGCCCCGGCAAAAAGCACCCGGCTGCGTGCGACCCGCAGGCCAGGGCGGCGGCCTTTCTGGGGTGCAGAGGGCAGCAAGCACCGCAGGGGCCGCAGAAGCACAGGGTTCTTCCCCACCTGAGACAGGGCCCGGCCGCCCATCACAAAGTGGGCAGGGGGGGGGGGAGGTTTTCTGGGCGGCCTGCAGCTGGCTCTGCCCCGGGAACTCCCAGCCTCTGACTGTCGAGGGAGGACCCCAGCCCACTGGGCGGGCCAGCGCCCACGGCAGCTGTGCCGGCGGAGACGGGGCCCAGCGGCTTCCCCGTGGGCCAGGGCTGAGCCGGGGCGCACTCTTCAGACTAACGCTGAGACCGGGGATGAACCGGAGCAGGGGAGGGGGCTGGGCACGATCCTTGGGAGGCAGAGCTGCCGAGCTTTAACCTGGATTCAGCGCGCGGACCGTGTGTGCGCGGCTCTGAAGCAGCGCTGCCACCGCGACCCTGCTCCCACAGCTCTGGTAGCAACCGGCTCGATTCTCACTGCAGCGGGCCAGGTGCGCACGCGAAAAAAGCAGCTGCAGCCGCTCGGGCAGCCGCACAGGCGCCGCGGCCGCTTCGCACATTCCTCGGTTTCCACGCGACCATGTCTGTGGCTGGATTCTTTCTTTTATCACCTTTACGGTCTCCTTTGTGGAATGTCTGCTAGGCTTTTATCATCTCCTGGCTATGTGTGAACCCAAAAGTATCTGGCATCTACTATTATTTTAAAAGATCAACTTCTTCCAAGGCCTAAGATGTCAGCTACTATCTTCAAAAAAATAACTTCAGCATCTGGCTGGAGCTTCCTGTAGTTCCAGTTCCATATCATCAGAGCATATGTTTGCTCTGTCCCTGACACAAGTGTATCGGACAGGTCCGGAAACAACGCACATGTATGCACGTGGTCACGCACACACCTTTCTTTTAAATCACAGTATTTCTCTTTCCCTCACCTAAAAAAAGTCGCCCTCCTGAACTGCTGAGCCAGGGGCCTGCTCCCACACCGATCCGCCACACCCGGCTCTCCTCAGCCTTTCCTTCGCAGTCTTCTCCCCGAATTCCTGCCCCGCTGTCTCTTCTCTTCCGCCCTCAGCGCAGCCACCCTGGGAGGCGCCGGCTGCCTCACGGCTCACACACCGGCCTGCTGGCCCCCACTCCCTCCCTCCAAGTCCCTCTGAACACCTGTGGAAGATAAACATCTCTTGAACACTGCTTGAAAGCTGTCTCTTTTCCCAAAAGCTTTCTAAAGGGTGAGTAATAATGCCAATTACAGTAGCTATTTAAGAACCTAGAAATTTGGCTTCAGTGCGCCTGTCCAAACTATCTTTCCCAATATTCAAAGCCTTTTCTAAAAACCCCGGCCTTAGCCTTTGCCCTCAGCTTCCCGCGGGGACTCCTAGAGAGAAGAGCCAGACTCTGGTTTCTGCCGCAGTCACGCTCAGTGACCTCCGTGCCCCGTGCAAGGCAAACACCAGAGGGCTTGCTTCCGCGCCCTCGCCGGGCCGCCTAACCTGGGCCGACCTTCCGTCACCCCGTACCGGCCACCCCCACGGCGTCGGAGCGCAAGCCCAGCCGACTGGCCCTCTCAGCGCCCGAGCTCGCAGGGCTGTGCTGCCTCGGCGCCCTGCCCGCCTCCGCCCTGCTCTCCCGGACGCGGCCCGTGTTCCGAACTCGGCTGGAACGTCTCTGCTGGGGCATTTCCTCCCAGGCTCACACACACCTTTGCTCTCAGTGCTCTTGCGCAACCAGACCCCTAGCAGGACTCACCCTGCTGGACTGTAACGACTTGCTTTACGTGTCAGGATCCTCAGAATCCAACACACTCGGAGGCCCGTGCCAGACCATTAACAGTGGGTTTTAAAAGGCCTTCGGGGACGGCCCCTGCCCCTCAGGGCTGCTCTCGGTGAGGCAGCGCGGCACCATGGTTACGAGCTGCGAGCCTGCAGCCAGGCTGTCTACGGTGAACGTGGGCCTGCCATTTACCAGCCACAAGGCACCAGGCAAGTTAATGACCTTGGCCCTGTCCACGCAGACGCCTCCTTGGAACGGGCGCCCTTCCTTCTCCCCACCACCCCAGACCCCCCCGGGTTTGAAGGCCTCTGGGAGACCCTGTGATCGCCACGGCCTGCAGCATTTCCTGCGTTGCTCTGCATTTAGTTGCACTGCCCCGGTGACTCTTCCTGTCTGACAGCCTGGCGAAGGTCCTGAGGCCGCCCGGCCCCGCACCGCAGCTCCGTGAGCCCCCACAGCCAGCAGCGAGACAAGAAAGCTCTGTGGGGGCTCCACTCGGACCACACCCCCTTTGCAATCTAAGAAAGCAGGAGCCCTGGTCAGGCCTGGCTCGCTGCAGGTGTGCAGGGGCCAGAGGGACGCCCCAGGAAGAGAGGCTGAGAGGGAAGCTCCCTGCCCTGGCCCTGCCAAGAGCCTGGAAGCTGCAAACCCCGCGGCAGCAGGGGGTCCTCCAGAGAAGCATGTGGAGGAGGGGACACGATGTGGGGGGGGTGGACGCGGGCAGCCGCAGGGGCAGGGTCTGGAAGTGCAGCCACCCAGCTGTCACAGGGAGGCAGCCTTAGTTCCTCTCTCTGTCCAGCGAGCTCAGTAACACCTCCATTGCACATACATAATATCTGACGTTCACCCTAACCATTTGCTGGAGCCCTTGGGAAACATCTAATACAAACAGAAAACACCGGAACTCATAAATAAAAACGAGAACAGCGAACCCGCTTTTCATTGTATGAGAAAATGTATTAAATTAGCTGGCAGCAGTAGTTACAATAGTTAAATTACCTGTGAGAAAGCTAAATACGCACAGCATTGCCAACAATACAGACTTGAGACAAGGAAAACATTCCACTACAAACTTGATCCTGCTTTCCTGACACTTTCTCCACCCTGACATTGTTTTCCTTCTGCTTGTGATTAAAACAAGTTTCCAAAATTATCCCCTAAAGACAAGCACGGAAAGGCACACTTTGTAGCAACTTAGTTCTATAAATGTACTACCCAGTTACCAATGCCCAAGATACTTCTAAACAGCAATGACCATGTAGGTAAGAAATTCAGACAACTGCAAAAAGCTCCGCGGACGACCTGAGCCACTCATTTCCAATTGCGAGCGTTTCCAACGCGAGTCGTCCGTGCGCGTGTGCGCGACGTGCTCATGGCGCAGACCACCCCAGCCCCCTAACTTTCAGAGGTTCCCCGCTGGGTCTCCAACAATTAGTTCGAATCAGTCTAGCGGCTGAAATGCTACACAATCCTCCGCAGGTTCCCCGAGAACGGTTTCCTTCCGAGGGACGCAAGGAAAGAACAGTGGCCGGTCTCCTAGGCTCAGAGAGAAGCTGTGGGCTCGGGAGAGGACACCGCCGAGAAGGCGTGTGAGCTCCGCAAGAAGGAGCCAGAGACACGGCTCGGCTAGGAAGGGGGCCGAGGGCCCGGCCTGTAACCCAAGCGAGGCACAGGGAAAAGTGGGGATTCGTGCCCCCAAAGGGGCAGAATCCACCAGGGAGTTGGGGGGGGGGGGTTGTGTTTGGTGAGTGTGTTCGGTGAGTGCGTGTGTTGGGGTGTGTTGTGTTAGTGAGCGTGTGTTGGCTGCGGCTCTGTGTGGTGTGCTGGCCGGGGCAGTGCGCCGCGCGGAGGGGCGCGCTCGGCGTCCGAGATTCCCGGGGACAAAGCCGCCACTTCCGACCCGGATGCGGGACCGGTTCGGAGGAATGCGGGGCTTTCCCGGCGGTAACCAGCGGCTCGGGGCGGGCGGCTCCCGAGCGCCGGTCCCAGGCCGTCCAGCCGCGCCCGCGCCCGCGCCCTCACCCTCCCGCGGGGCGGTCCCGGCCCTCTCACCTCCGGCGGGCGCCTCCCTCTCCGGTCTCCGCAGCCGCGTCCCTTCGGCGTCAGGCCCGCTCCGGGCCGTCGGCAGGGCGGCCAAGGGCCGCTCGGCAGGCTGCGCCCGGCGTCCCCCTCTCACCGCCCCTCTGCGTCCCGCTCCGTCCTTCCCGCAGACGCGGCACGCGGCCCTCCTCCCGGGCGGGATCGCCCCCGACTCCGCCCCGGACCCCCCCCCCGACAGGGCCCTGCGCGCTGATTGGCCGCCGCGGGCCCGGCGCGCCCGGCCATTGGCCCGACGGCCGCGCACGGCGAGGGGCGGGGCTTGACGGCCGCGATTCCCGGAACGCGGCTCCCGGCGTCCCGGATTCCGGCGTTGCTTGTGCGGCCGGGATCGGAGGGTCCCACCCCCCGCCCCCGGGCTGACGGAGGAGCGGAAGGTTCCGTCCCTGGGCGGAGGCCGAGGCCCGCGAGCGCCCGCTGCTTCCCCGGGCGCCGCGGCCTGCCCGCGGGACCCGGCCGCGAGGGAACGCGGGCTCCCATGGGGACGGGGACGGGACTCCTCAGGGAACCCGACTGGCCGCCGCGACCGCAGGTGGCGGCCGCCGCGCCTTGGGTCCAGCCCTGGGAAACGAGCCAGGGTTCCCACTTCTAAGTTAGAGAAGGACTTTGGGTAGTATCAGTCGGGCAGGGCCTGGGCTGGGGACACGCCAGAGACGAGGAGGGTTCTTTGCAGTCGCACCTCCCAATCGGTGGGCGATAGAAGCCCCGAGAGGGGGCCAGACTCCTGACACGCCCGCCCCGCGGGAGATCAGACCTGCGGAGCCACCTGGGGGTGTGTGTGTCGGTGTGTGATGTGTGTGTGCCCCTGCGTGTGCGGGGGCGGGGGGCAGGGCCTTCCGTGGAAGAATGGCAGGCTCTCCATAGGATTTCACGCGCAGGAACAAGTTACACCCATGTAGTGACACAATTATAAGGTTCTCCATTATACTGAGAGTTTGGATACAGTAAAACACAGACCAAATTATGATCTCTTCGTTGTAACCATGTAATTTATAAAAGACACAGAGAGGCGGGCCTGCTGTGTGTCCAGTGCTGAAGGGGTCCCAGGCGAGCTTGGAGGCGGTGGCAGTAGAGGCAAAGGACCCCCGTCTCCGTGCCCCATCCTGGCAGCAGAGACAAAGCCCCCTGTGATCTTGTGGGCTGCCCCTTGTCACCTTGTACCTCCCCCTGGGGGATGGGACTGTATTGTATCCCAGCTCTGCCTCTTCGAGGGGCGTCAGTCTTAAAGCAAACCCTTTAAATCTAGCAAACATTTATTGAGGGGCGACGTCTACTGGCTAAGTGTGCCTTCTGGTTCCTTAGTGGCTGGGCTTAGACCTTGCTGTTTCCCAAGTCTGCGACCTTGAGCAGGTCTCAGGTTTTTCATCTGCACGGAGAGCAGTGGTCACCTAATTGGGTTGCTGCAAGGGCCAGAGGAGCTCGCGGCGAGATGAGCCGGGCCGCAGCAGACGCCCGGGGACCGCCGGCGGCTCCCGTTACTGCATGTCTGCCACGTAAGTGCTTCCCAAACCTTTTGCGTGACCGCTTGTGTTGAAAGCAGTGACATTCCATGGCTCAGGGTACAGGCAGAGGGGACCGAAACCTCACGGCACACTAGCCTGCCTTGCGCGCTGGTCGGAAGAGCGCAGGACCGAGTCCCTTAGTGGCCATCTTTGTATTGGGTTAGCCCAGCCCTCGCGGCTCAGAAGCTCTCATTTTGTGGGGATGGTTGAAATCCTAGGCTGAAAGAGTGAATCGGCACTGGAGGAAGGTTTATCGGTGATGTCCCCTCAGCTGGGATGAAGTAACCACACAGACAGCTCTGTAGGGTACTGGCCCCGAAGTGACCACTTCCAGGGCAAGGATTTGTCATTCGAAAGCCCCGTCAAAATGCAAAGGGAAGTGGGGGAGAGTGGCATCTGAATAGAGATGTGCCGTGGGGCCATTTTTACTTCGATAGTCAAAGGCAGAGAGGGGACGTGAGGACGCAGGCAGGTGTCATCTGAGGGCAGGCGAACAAAGGGACAACGCGGGGAAACTACGGGGCAGAGGCGACCCGAGGCAGAGGCAAGCCTCGCCTGCCGTGCTACCCGCGGACAGGCAGCCCTGGCCCGGGCGCTGGTTACTCCTCACCTGCACCCAGGCGTGTTTCTGAAACTCTGTGTCACCCCTGGGGACTCTCCCCCCCGTCCTGCCTCGACCAAACAGTGTTGGCATCCATCGTAATGACTCAGCTGGCACCTTGACCTCACAATTTCTCATCCTTCTCTTTAGCAGTGATCTTCAACGTCGCCCTCTCTCCGAAACCTGCAGGTGCGGCCACGCCCCCACCCAGTCATCCGAGGCGCTCAAGCGCCTGCCACAACGCGCGCCATGAGCCGCCCTCTCGCCCCATAGCTGCCTGCCCTCCGGCCTTGCTTATTCCCGCTGAGCCCGCAGCTTGCCTGCCCTCCGGCCTTGCTTATTCCCGCTGAGCCCGCAGCTTGTCCTTAGCGACCTCCGGCCTGTGTCCTTCCTCATCACGGTATCGGCAGTTGTTTCCCGTCTTCTCTTCCTAAACTGTGAGAACTATCCTGGACCTCTCGCTAGCAGGCTCCATCCCCTTGGCCTTCATTGTGTGTACAGGCCGTTTCCTCTTTCCATTTGCCTTGAAAGTCTAGCCCCACCCAACGCTCACTCTTAGTCTGCCCTCGTTTCCTTATTCCCTGGAAAAACCGAGAGCACCACTTGTGAGCAACCTTAATTTTTCTCCATCTTAGGAGGCGACTATGGCTGTGTCTGCACCTACCGGCCGCCTGGAAGAAGGGCCCTTATTCTCTCAAAAGGGTCCCTCCCGCTATGTTCCTGGTTCTATGGCTGCCAAGCTCAGTCCGCGGGTTTTATCTTTTTCATTGCTGGCACAAAATAGCTTAGAAAAAATTTTAAATGATTAACTCCGTGTTGAGCTGGAGACAGCCTTTCTGTAGACGTTAAAACCTTTGTAGCCCAGGAGCCTCTAATTCACCAAACGGACCTAAAAGTATGTAATTCAGTCAGTATACGTCTCAAAATGAAGCCATTGAAAGCACATTGCAATCCATTTCGTAGCATAAGTCTAACATGAACTTAAATCCAGTTGTCACTAAATTTCCAAGCTAGAAAACAGGAAAAACCCCCTTCGCAGCAACAGAAAGAGCAATAGTATGACTCACTTATTTCAGAAATTTCACTGAAGGACACTATGTATTCAGAAAAATGAGCGGCCCCGGAGCACAGCCTGAAATTGTTCAGGAACCGCTCCCAGCCTGGAACCCGACCCCGCCCTGCCCGCAGGTCCGCTGTCGCCACCTCTGACTTCTAACGCCAGAGGGTCACAGCTGTCACTTTAACACTGAGAAGCTGGCAGCGACTTCTCGACCTTGTTCGTGTTTGCCTATTTCCAGCTGAGCATGTGACCGTCTGTGATAGGCCGAGGGGCGGGGCGTGGGACGGTGGCGTGGCAGTGTTGGGCTCAGGAGGACACCGGCAGTTGTCACGCTCGGGCGCTAAATCGCTGCAGCTGGGCCTGCTGACTGCGCCCGAGACTCCGGGCGCTGCTGGACTCCTCATCCCCTGCCCCAGCCCCTCCTTTCCCACAGCCGCTGGGGGGAGGGGAGCCAGTGCTGAGTGACGGAGACATCGGTCACTAACAGCAGCCCCTGTGTCCTGAGTGCTTGCTGAGAGCCAGGATGGTGCTAAGTGTCTGCACACAAGATCTTATTTCTCACGTCAGAAAATGAAGTAGGTGTGATCTTTGCCACCCCTCCCCCACTTTTACAGCTGCGGAAACTGAGTCAGGGAAGTCAAACACCTTGCCCCTGACCGTAGGCAGACGGCAGTCTCCGCCAGGAAGCCAGTCCTGGTGGTCCGGTTCTAAAACTTGCCTCCTCCAGCGCTGGGCTGTGCTGTCTTCTTAGAAGGCGACGGAGCTCAGGCTCCCGCACCCTCAGCTTCCTGCGGCCCGGCACGCCCTGCGGTGGCGGCCGGTTTCCAGAGGGGAGCAGGTTCGTGCTAAGGACGGCCTGGCAGGTCCCTCTCCTGCGGCGACGTAGGTCCCCTCAGCACAGCGACGTCCTGCTCTGCCCAGGTGGCCCTGCACTGGTCTGGCGGCCCGTGTCGCGTTGCTCCTGGATCCCGGCTAGCGTGTCTCCTAAAGCTGTCTAAGTCTAGCTGCTGGCCGCAGTAGGGTCAGGGTTGCAGTTACTTCAGGGTTTGGGGGGTGGTCCGCGCCCAGGAACAGCTGTGACCGGGGCTGTGGGGGCAGGGCTAACGGTGGCCGCGCACTGATGCCTCCTCTCCTCGGACCAGTGGGGTCGCCATCCGGGGGCGTCCAGCCCGCATGCGGCCCAGGAGGGCTGCGAAGGTGGCCCCGTACAAAACTGTAAATGTACTTAAAACCTTTTCTTCGCTTGTCAGTTCTCGTTAGTGTTTGGGTATTTAACGTGTGGCCCAAGACAACTCTCCTTCTTCCAGGGTGGCCCAGAGACGCCACAAGGATGGGCACCCCCGAAGGGTTTCCTGAGCGTCCTTGGAGCGCGACACTCAGTACCAGGTGCCAGGTACTTAGACAGGATGAGGCCCCCGGCAGGAGAGAGAGTATGTGGTGGAAGTAGATCAGCGGCTCCGAAGGTGAGGGCCCTGCGTTTTGAAGAGGAGGAGGCTGGGTGGAGGGGAGCAGGCGGGGGAGCGTTCACGAGGGACCGAGTGAGCGGGGCTGTGGCGGGGTTTGGCGACGTGACAAGTTGTGGGATTGAAGGGAGACACGTGAGAGAGGACGGCAAGGGGGTGGCGGGGGGTGATGGTGCACAGGCAGGGCAAGCCCGGGGCGGCGAGCAGCGGTGTGTGAGGAAGCCTTCAGTTCCGGCAGGAGCGTCCTTCCCGAGTCCGGAGGGCGGTGGCGTCCGGTTGCTGGCCCCGGCAGCCGGACAGTGCCAGGCCCTCTTCCCGCTGCTGCGCTGCGGCTCGCAGCCACCCTCAGCATCGGGCAACGCGGTGGCTGGTCACATCCGACGAGGGAGAGTTTGCCTTCCCCAGAAATCCCAGGCTGGCTTCTCCTTGCGTTTCACTGGCTCAGGCTGGCGTGGTGCCGGCGTGCCCCTCAGCCCC